GCCACTCTGGGCGGCTCCCAATCAAGTGTTAAAAACAGTAACCGTTAAATATTAAAAACTTCCCTGAACAGGGCTGCCTTCAGATGTCTTTTAAAGATAGGATAGTTGCTTATTTCCTTCACATCTGAAGGGAGGGTGTTCCACACGGTGGGCACCACTACTTCAGTCTTGTCAGGATTCAACCTCAATCTGTTAGCTGCCATCCATCCTCCAACCGCCTCCAGGCACTCACACAGGACCTTCACCGCCTTCACTGGTTCTGATTTAAAGGAGAGGTAGAGCTGGGTGTCATCTGCATACTGATGAACACCCAGGATCCCGGACTAGATGGGCCATTGGCCTGATCCGGCACGGCTCCCCTTACATTCTCGAAGCTGAAATAGCTCTGCCAGCGGAGCACGAGACTCTTTAAGTCTATGGGTTGTGGGTTCGAGTTCCGCGTCCGGGCAAAAGACCTCTGCGTTGCAGGGGGTTGGAGTAGTTCAACCCTCACAGTCCCTTTCCCAGCTGTACAGTTCTATACGATCCTTCCAAGCGCCGCAAGCCTGCCAGATTAGCCGGCCGCCTTGGCTAGCGCCGCCCGCTCTGGCTGGCAGCATCTCTTCGGAAGGGACGGGGCTTCCCTGGATCGGCCTCCCTTTTCTCCTAATCTGGAGGTGTCGTCAGCGGGTGGAAGCTGGGGACTGCCAGACAGTGTGCCGGCCAAGCAGATGTCAGTCGGCCGGGGATCCCCATAGGGGTGTTCTCTGCCGGTTCTTGAGAACTTAAAATAATAATTTCTCTACCTCTCCGGCTCCAGCTGAGCCAGTCGCTTTTCAAATCTGCAACGGCTTCTTACTGGAAGGATGGTGAAGCAGTGGAGCCGGGGGGGGGGGGAGAAAAAGGTTGGGGAGGACGGTTCTTCCCTCTGGGTGGCAATAAGGACTTTGCACTAGTAAAACCGAAACCGATGATGTACGCAGAGCAGCAAGGGCAGCAGAGACGGGAGGCCGCTGTGGCTTATCATGATTTTTTTTGACCTGCCGTTTCCAGAGGTCAGAGAGCTGGTTTTTGCAGCCACCTGCACGGGGCTGGATTTAGGTTTGATGAAGCCCTAAGCTACTGAAGGTAGTGGGGCCCTTTCTATGTCCAGCCGTCCTTTGCCAACAACAAATTGTTGCCGCTGGTTTTTTGTGTGTTGAATATATGCTATATGGTCATTTATGGACCTAACAGGTATCTCAAGCCATTTGCACATCACAAAATACAGTGGTACCTCGGGTTACATATGCTTCAGGTTACAGATGCTTCAGGTTACAGACTCCGCTAACCCAGAAATAGTACCTCAGGTTAAGAACTTTGCTTCAGGACGAGAACAGAAATCGTGCTCCAGCAGCGTGGCAGCAGCAGGAGGCCCCATTAGCTAAAGTGGTGCTTCAGGTTAAGAACAGTTTCAGGTTAAGAACGGACCTCCAGAATGAATTAAGTACTTAACCCGAGGTACCACTGTATGTATTTTATCAAAGTAATTGTTGAACTGAAATACAATTAAGAAGAAGTATATTAATAGTGAAATAATTATTCAGCTCTAACTTAAAATGATTTTTTATTCGTAACAAACTTAATAATGCAAACACATTGGCATTTGGCAATAAGAAAAGTTCATTTGGAAACACAATTTACAAAGACTCATAATCTAGTCTCTAGAAACTTGCTATAACATGAAATAATAAGAGGTGTAAATATATGAAGCAAACTGCTAATAATTAGAAATAGCAGAATGTAGGCACCCTATATATAGAAATGAGCAAACCAGTGATATTTTAGGGAGCAGGCTTCCATCCTAGGAGCCTACACAACACAAAACACTGTATCTAGGTTTTATTTTATTTCTTTTTTTCTCTTATATATTCATAAACACATCCTCGCTGCCCCTGCCCCCAGTTTACAAAAAAGCAGTATTCAGAATAGCAGTTTGCATAACGACCCACTATGGAAGCCAATAGCGCAATAAAATCCCAAGCTGTAACAATTACCCGCACGTTTATTCAACGTGCAATCAAAGCTCATTTAACTGATCAACAGAATTGATCGGTTTGCTCCAGTGGTACCAGCTTGTCAAAATCGGGTAGCCATTTACGCCACAAGCACACTATCGCTACCCCAACGCCTCCTTTGGGAGCCGCTGGGTTTGGGCATCCAGCTATCACTTGGCAGTAAAGGTAAAGGGACCCCTGACCATTAGGTCCAGTCGTGGCTGACTCTGGGGTTGCGGCACTCATCTCACTTTATTGGCTGAGGGAGCCGACGTACAGCTTCCGGGTCATGGGGCCAGCATGACTAAGCCGCTTCTGGCGAACCAGAACAGCGCACGGAAACGGCGTTTACCTTCCTGCCGGAGTGGTACCTATTTATCTACTTGCACTTTGACGTGCTTTTGAACTGCTAGGTTGGCAGGAGCAGGGACCGAGCAACGGGAGCTCACCCCGTCATTGCGGGGATTCGAACCGCCGACCTTCTGATCGGCAAGTCCTAGGCTCTGTGGTTTAACCCACAGCGCCACCCGCGTCCCTAGCACTCGGCAGACTTGGGTTCAAATCCCCACTCAGCCAGGAAATGCAGCGGGTGGCCTTCGGGGGGGGGCGGGAGCTGCTCTTCTCTCAGCTCAGCCCTACCTCACAGGGCTGTTGTGAAAATTGAAAGAGTCGAGGAGCGGGGAGAGGCGCCGTGCCTGATGCCCCTTATAGGCAAAATATTCCAGTAATGAACCAATTAAAGAGCCATCTAGCTGGTCGGTTTCAGGGGGTTAGATGAGCCTCACCCAGCGAGGCAGTTCTTATCACGCCCTTCCGCAAATTCACCGTTCCCTCTTTCCCTTCCAGGCAATATTTTGATTTCTACTCCGGCGGGCAGCCGTTCTCTGACGCCAGCTATGCAACTCCAGGCCTCGCCGATTTCTTGAAGAACGGCGACTTTCCTCAGGTAAGCCCCGGCACCCACCTGCTCCTTTGAGCGTCAGATCTGTTTTCTCCATTGGGATTAGGTCAGCGTTCGCGGTGCGTGGGTTTCTTCTCCCTTCACCTTCCAGGGAAAAGAACAACCTCTGCTTTCTTGCTTTCGTTCTGGACAGGTTCAGGAAAAGGGTTTATGGCGAAGGCAGATGTGCAACGACCATCTGCCGTGTGATTTGACTGCGGCAAGTTTGGAGGTGATTGAGTCTTTGTTGGGCCGTTGGCCTTATTCAGCAAGTCCTTATTATGCTCTTAGGGTGTTTTGTGTTTTGTGCGTGTTTTGAAACTGGAAAAAGTCCCTTTCTCTCTCTCATTTCTTTATATTGTTGTTGCTGTTGTTGTTATAATTTAATTTAATTTAATTTAATTTAATTCATTCATATACTGCCCTTCGTTCAAAGATCTCAGGGCGGTTTGCAGGACAAAAATACAGGAGAAAAGCACAATAAATAGCGTGAAAGCAAAAGAAAACAATGATGTATTTTCGTTCGAAGAAGTCAGTCCTGCTGCTAAATGCTGCTGTAAATTACAATTAATCCAGAATGTGGCAATTAGACTGGTGACTGGGATCTGCTGCCGAGACCGCATAACATTGGTCTTGAAAGACCTACATTGGCTCCCAGTATGTTTCTGGGCACAATTCAAAGGGTTGGTGCTGACCTTTAAAGCCCTAAACGGCTTCGGTCCAGTATACCTGAAGGAGCGTCTCCACCCCCAGCATTCTACCCGGACACTGAGGTCCAGAGCCAAGGGCGTTCTGGCAGTTCCCTCACTGCGAGAAGCCAAGTTACAGGGAACCAGGCAGAGGGCCTTTTTGTTAGTGGCACCTGCCCTGTGGAACGCCCTCCCACCAGATGTCAAATAGAACAATAATTACCAGACTTCTAGAAGACATCTGAAGGCAGCCCTGTTTAAGGAAGCTTTTAATGTCTGATGGATTACTGTATTTTAATATTTTGTTGAAAGCCACCCTGAGTGGCTGGGGAAGCCCAGCCAGATGGGTGGGGTATAAATAATATATTATTCATATTCTTATTATACCAACATGAGCAAAGTATTGCAAGGCATTGCTTTTGAGTTTATTGGTGTTGAGAAACCCGGTCCGCCTCTTTCCTAGAGGCCTAAAAGTTGAAGCGCTAGGAGAAGCTGAAATTTGTCAGGGGAATTTGGAGAAAGGCAGTGTTCTTTTATCCGATTCCCTTCTAACGAAGGAAAGCAACATTATTCCACCTGAAACTCGTGGTGATTTAGGGATGACTGATACTGGCTGATGGTATTACTTTTGTTCCTTCCTTAAGTTCAGTGGTTTCCTCTATTCAGTTCCCCTCTTTCTTCTCTGGCTAATAGCGCTGTATTGTGATACTTATTTCATTGTAACTTACCTGTAATCTGGATTTGCTCTGTTGTTGTTGATGTTGCTGATACTTATTAAATTTGTATACCGTCCTATACCTGCTGGTCTCAGGATGGTAATATATTATAATGAGGATTATTACTGATTATATTTAGAGCCTTTGTACCACCCTCTGTGGGCAGACAGGCTCCCAGGGAGGCTGGCATACCATCCATTAGGTAAAGGTAAAGGGACCCCTGACCATTAGGTCCAGTCGTGGCTGACTCTGGGGTTGCGGCACTCATCTTGCTTTACTGGCCGAGGGAGCCGGCGTACAGCTTCCGGGTCATGTGGCCAGCAGGACTAAGCCGCTTCTGGCGAACCAGAGCAGCGCACGGAAACGCCGTTTACCTTCCCGCCTGAGCGGTACCTATTTATCTACTTGCACTTTTGACGTGCTTTAGAACTGCTAGGTTGGCAGGAGCTGGGACTGAGCAACGGGAGCTCACCCCGTCGCGGGGATTTGAACCGCCAACCTTCTGATCGGCAAGTCCTAGGCTCTGTGGTTTAACCCACAGCGCCACCCGCATCCATCCATCCATTAACCTACGGTTAATTAAACAAGGCAGCCCCTGCCCCTACAGGCTTACAGTCTAAACACACACGCACAACATGCTGGATAGCTCAGTTGGTTAGAGCATGGTACTGAGGATGCCAAGGTTGCAGGTTCGATCCCCGCGAGGAACAGCTGTGTATTTCTGCATTGCAGGGGGTTGGACTAGGCGATCCCCAGGGTCCCTTCCAAGTCTACGGTTCTACGCAACGGGAAAAGGACAGGGAGGGAAGATAAGAATCGGAACTCGGGCACTTAGCTGGCACAGCTCAAACCAAAGACGAAGAGAGAGAGCTCTGCTTCCCCATCTCTCACAGTGCCATTACGTTTGTTATAAAGTAAAGGTAAAGGGACTCCTGACTATTAGGTCCAGTCGTGACCGACTCTGGGGTTGCGGCGCTCATCTCGCTTTATTGGCCGAGGGAGCCGGCGTACAGCTTCTGGGTCATGTGGCCAGCAGGACTAAGCCGCTTCTGGCAAACCAGAGCAGCGCACGGAAACGCCGTTTCCCTTCCCGCCGGAGTGGTACCTATTTATCTACTTGCACTTTGACGTGCTTTTGAACTGCTAGGTGGGCAGGAGCTGGACCGAGCAATGGGAGCTCACCCCGTCATTGCGGGGATTCGAACCGCTGACCTTCTGATTGGCAAGTCCTAGGCTCTGTGATTTAACCCACAGCGCCACCCGCGTCCCTACGTTTGTTATAAAACATTGCAAATGTAATTAAGAAGAATTGAAGCCTGTTGTTGTTGTTGTTGTCAGCATCAGTCTGACTCGAGAGACAATGGAGTTCACCTTCGAGGGTGAAATAAAACCGCTGCGTCAGCAGCACCGACGTGACCTCCCTTGGGGCGCCAGCCTGGGCAGTGTGGCTGGAGGTCCTGGACTGCCCAGACGACAAGACTGTCAGAAAGCTCTTTCTGATGTTGAGTCAGAATCTCCCTTTCTTGTCGCTTGAAGCTTCCTGGTCGAAGTCCTGCCCTCCGGAGCAGGAGAAAACAGGCTTGCACCCTCTTCCACGTGGCAGCCCTTGAGATATTTGAAGTTGGCTATCTTATCTCCTGTTGTCTTTGTCCATGGAGTTTTCTTGGCAGGGGTACTGGAGTGGCTTGCCGGTTCCTGCTCCAGGTGGATCACGTTTGGTCAAAACTCTCCACTATGACCTGTCCATCTTGGGTGGCCCTGCACGGCATAGCTCATAGCTTCTCTGAGTTATTCAAGCCCCTTTGCCATGGCAAGGCAGTGATCCATGAAGGGCATCAAACGTATCCATTCTTAAGGAAATCAGTCCTGAGTGCTCACTGGAAGGACAGGTCCTGAAGCTGAGGCTCCAAGACTTTGGCCACCTCATGAGAAGAGAAGACTCCCTGGAAAAGACCCTGATGTTGGGAAAGATGGAGGGCACAAGGAGAAGGGGACGACAGAGGACGAGATGGCTGGACAGTGTTCTCGAAGCTACAAACATGAGTCTGACCAAACTGCAGGAGGCAGTGGAAGACAGGAGTGCCTGGCGTGCTCTGGTCCATGGGGTCACGAAGAGTCGGACACGACTAAACGACTAAACAACAACAACAATCCTATCTCCTCTAAGTCTCATCTTTTCCAGGCTAAACATAGCGAGCACAAACCGTTCTTGGTTTCCAGACCATTGATCGTCTTGGTTGCCTTCCTCTGCAAACAAACCTTCCAGCTTGTCAACAGTCTTCTTAAATTGTGGTGCCCAGAACTGTGGTGTCCAGAAGGAACTATTCCTTCCCTTGATCTGGACACTAGACTTCTGTTGATGCAGCCTAGAATAACATTCGCTTTTTTTGCTGCTGCATCACACAGTGGGCTCGTGTTCAGCTTGTGGTCCACTAAGACCCCTAGGCAAGCCCCTACATCAGGTACAGGAGGTGCTGAGACCCCATGTCATCCGCGGTTTAATAGCCTAGGAGGTGAAAATGTGTTTTTATTTTATCGCCCCCACCCACCCGTGTTTGCATGCAGTGCCTGAATTAAGAGCAGTAGCCATCTATCTATATTGGTAACCTATAGTCTGTCCCAGAGTCTGGTTCTGGAGACTGTATCAAATGCTGCTTTTAGGTCAATGAAGGCAGCGTATAGTGAGGCCTGTCCTCCTGAGTTGTATTTGTCGATGAGATGTTGTAGCATTAGGCAGTGATCTGTCGTGGACCTTCCGGGTCTGAAGCCTGCTTGTTCTATTGCCAGAATATCTTCATTCTCTAGCCATTCTGTAAACTTATTAAGGAGGTGCTTTGAGTAGAGTTTACTAATCATCACACTTAATAAGCTAATCAGCCTATAATTCGCTGGATCTCCTCTGTTGCCCTTTTTATAGATTGGGACTATTATGGCTGTTCCCCATTCCCTTAGGATGCGGCCAGTGTTATCTATGTAGGTGAAGAGGGTGGCTAAGAAAGGTGACCCACCCACCCTGGTTGCAGACGTAATCGGCTGACCCGACTGCACCTTGAGGCGCCCGAAGACAAGCCTTACCTGCAAGGCACTTGTTTTCCTTGGAAGGGTGCCAAGCGCAGTAACTTAAAAATAAACCAGGCTTTCAATCACTACCAAGTAATTGGATGCACCCCATCAAATCCGCCCACGTCTCGTCTGTCAGTTCCTGGACCAAAAGGAGGTGGAATAAAGCCAGATTCCATACGACACGGTGTCGCGCCCTAAATCAAAATACCAGAACACGAGAGATGCTTTTCATCTATTGATAGCTGCTTCTTAGCTTGCCGGAGGGAGGTTTGTCGGCAGCTGTTCACCTGGGGCGAGTTTAGAATGGGGTCTAGGCGAGTCCCCCTCCCACCATTGCCTTTTATGACACAGAGGTCCTAAAGTATTTAAGCGAGGCTATAAACAAACTGTTGTTGCTGCTGCTGCTGCTGCTGTTATAATTCGTTACCCGCCCTTCACCCACCCAGGTTGGGTTGCAACAATTAGAATGCAACATTAATAATACAGCGCAATATTACCATATTTTTTGCTCTATAAGACCTCCAGACCATAAGACACACCTAGTTTTTGGAGGAGGAAAACAAGAAAAAAAATATTCTGAATCCCAGAAGCCAGAACAGCAAGAGGGATCGCTGCGCAGCGAAAGCAGCAATCCCTCTTGCTGTTCTGGCTTCTGGGATAGCTGCGCAGCCTGCATTCGCTCCACAAGACGCACACACATTTCCCCTTACTTTTTAGGAGGGAAAAAGTGAGTCTTGTAGAGCAAAAAATACGGTACACAATTGGTCTGCAGCCAATCAGAAGCCCCACCAGACGTTCAGGTTCCAAAAGAACATTCGCAAACTGGAACAATCACTTCCGGGTTTGCGGCATTCAGGAGCCAAAACATTTCTCTTGCAAGGCGTTTGGGATCCAAGGTTCGACTGTATTGTGTTTTAATCTGGAACCTTAGGGTGAAGGGTTGCGAAGGAAGGAAGGAAGGAAGGAATCTTAGTCCTTAATTCTGTGAGACCCCTTTTGCTTTGCACAAACAAAGCAACAGGATGGTAGCAGCCAGTGATAAGGGACAGGGAATCTTCCAATGCTTTTCGATTTTTCACCACTGAAAATTTCCCCGTTCCGTAAAGTTCTTTGATAACAGCGAACGGGTGCCAGTTGCAAAGGACAGTCTGGGACAAGCATGGCAGTTCCAACATTTTTGTCTTTGTCAAAAGCCATGCTTATTTTTCCCTGGCCTTTGGCACTCACGCAAACGTGTATATGCATGTATATTATATAAATATATAGGCCCACTCTACTCTTGTGAACGTAATTTGTTTTAAGCTGGTTTTAATACTGGGGTTTTTTTAGTTTCTCCAAGCTGCCCTGAGGGTCTTACAACGGTGAACCGTTGTAGCAGGTAGTGATAATAAATGCCAAATTAGATCAGCCTCCAGGGCACCAGAAAAAGTCTCCAAAGCGGTATAGAAATAATAATAATAATATCATCTCTCCAAAAGCTGCCTAAACATTCCATTTTGGAAATTGTAACCTTGGTTTTATAGGGACATGGGTGGCGCTGTGGGTTAAACCACAGAACCTAGGACTTGCCGATCAGAAGGTTGGCGGTTCGAATCCCCGCAACGGGGTGAGCTCCCGTTGTTCGGTCCCAGCTCCTGCCAACCTAGCAGTTCGAAAGCACACCAGCACAAGTAGATAAATAGGTACCGCTCCAGTGGGAGGGTAAACAGCGTTTCCGTGCACTGCTCTGGTTCGCCAGAAGCAGCTTAGTCATGCTGGACACATGACCCGGAAGCTGTACGCCGGCTCCCTCGGCCAATAAAGCGAGATGAGTGCCGCAACCCCAGAGTCGGCCACGACTAGACCTAATGATCAGGAGTCCCTTTACCTTTAACCTTGGTTTAAGGAGCTGTTGGGTGCCTGGCATTTATATATCTGAGTTTCTAACCCTGCTTCCTTAAAGGTTCAGCCAGCTGAAGTTTTAGTTGCCGGCTCAACTCCTGTCTGCAAGGAGAAAAGCCTGAGGAAACGAGTCTAACCTAATATAACGGTTATTCACAAACCCATAAGGAAAGCGACCTTATACTGAGTCAGATTGAGCTGGCAGCGGCTCTCCAGCCTTGCCTGGAAAGGTTTATTTCCCCCCGTTTTCTTAATTTTTTATTTAAAAGATTGCTAGTCTTTTAAAACACAGCCCCTGCATCGACCCTGAGCCGCCGTGTTCCCCTTTAGAAACGACAGCACAACATTTGTAACGAAAGTTCTCTTTTTTACAATAAACTTTTATTGAAAGTCTTTCCGCGTAAGAACAGTAAAAATCACACTGATCTAAGAAAGAAAAATAGAAAGGAAGGAAGTGGAGGAAAGGAAGAGAATAAAGAAGAAAAGACGGGGGGGGGGGGAGAGGAGGAAAAGGAAGAGACTAAAGAAGGAAAGAAAGAAAGAAAAAAGAGGAAAAGAAATAAAGTCCTGTATTAAAATTGAAGTTCTGATTTAAACAGGAGGTGGCCCTTGTTGTTGTTGTTTAGTCGTTTAGTCGTGTCCGCCTCTTCGTGACCCCCTGGACCAGAGCACGCCAGGCACTCCTGTCTTCCACTACCTCCCGCAGTCTTCCACTACTCATGCTGGCAGCTTCGAGAACACTGTCCCACCATCTCGTCCTCCATCG